AATTACATTCAAAAATATTCTCACAGAGACACCCAGAATAATGTTTGACCACATGTCTGGACACCCAGGCTTGGCCAAGTTGATACGTAAAATTAACCATCACAGTGACCAACAGAAAGAAATACATCGCATTCAATATGTACATAAATGCAGCTGTCACAAAAGTTTCACTCAATTGTGTTTATCCTAAATGGGACATATTTCTCTTCTATTTTATTTAAGAAGCATGTGTAGATCACTCAGTTGGCTTCTGGGCTTGTGATGGGTTGTAGAGATGGTTTTTTGAAACATTGTCTTAGAATATGTTTTCCAAGTGTTCTATTATTCCATAGCAATAGTCCTGAGGGATAGCACTTTGTCCACAGGGACTAAGAAGGCGTTGTGGGCCACTGAGGGAGACCTGGGGAGCCTCCCAAGGCCCAACATGATTGTGTGTGACCTCAGCCTACTCATGCCTCAGTTTCCCTGTCTATAAAGGAGGTAAATACCTCTTCAACCTAGACCTGTTGCAAACAATAAAATCAGAGTGAGATAATGTGAAAGCACCTTGTAAACTCCAAAGTAATTTTGTAAGGTAATTGCTATTTTAAAATACTCTGTAATCTTCTTCTCTACCACTCAGGAATCTGAGAGGATGGTGCTATTTCATGAAAATTAGTTTGAGCTCTTCAAAACTTGCCACATAAAACAAAGACAGAGCCAATTTCTTTAATCAAAATGATGATCAGCTTCTAAAAATGAGCCCTGTCTCCCCTGAGATCCCTCAGAATTAAAATCTGATTTCAAAGAAGGGAAAACTGCAGTGTGTTTGGGTTTGATTCAGAGCTGAGTTCTGCTGTCTGCCCACCTCTTCCCCACTCCACCTGGTCCAGTGAGTCCTTCGGGGCGATGTGGAGATGCCTCAGCCACATCCCTTGGCTTTAAGAACCAGAGCCGCGCTGAATGCCACCTCTCATACTTTGTTTTAAAACCACCTAATTGATGACCCCGGAGAGAAATGGGGGGGTAGGGTCGAGGGTTTCCCAGGCTGGGTCACCACTTATCAGGGTTGATGTTTGGAATGGAAGCCACACTGGAGGCTCAGCTTTGCAGGGATGGGGCAGCCTCAGGGAGCCGGGGCAGAGGGGTGGGCAGGAGACGGGAGCTGGGGTAGGAGGGCTCCTTGCAGGTTGGGTCGCCACCGCGATGCCCAGTGGGGTCTCCGGTGAGCCACACAGGAGCCCACAGCCTTGCTTGTTCCCTTCTCTTCCATTTCTCTGTTATTTGTTTTCCAATCAGTCCCTTTCATGGTGTATAAAATGAGATGCTGGTTATTCCTGTCACACATTATTGTTTTCTGTGGATCCTCCCCCCCGCCCCTTCAAATCTCTCCAGGCGCAGTAATTTCAGCCTCCTCAGACGAGGGCGATGAGTGCTTGAGATGCATAACTGTGTCTCATTTCAGTGCCTAATAGAAGATGGAGAATGAGCCCCAGCACCTTTCTGCTCAGTAAATTCATAATTACAGGCTTCCTGGTCTCGCCTCTCGCAAACTGGAGAACTGTTGATTGGCTTGTGGGTCTGTGAGTGTGTACAGTAAGGAGGGGGCGTGGCAGGCACACTTTCTCCAGTGCTTGGCTGTTTCCGAAACAGTGGCTGCCGAAAGAAAGTTCCCTCCCAAGGGCTCACGTCTGAGCCCTGACTTACGTCTGCCCCACACCTGGAAGGAAGGTTACCAGCCCTGCTGGACTTTGGTCATTGGCAGCGACGTTCTGCGAGGTGTGTCAGCCAGCAGGGCAGGCGGCACCCGAAGGCCAGTCTCCTCCAGACAAAGACCAGGGAGCAGATGCTGAAGTGGGTTCAGGTAAAGTCAGAGGACAGGCCACAGGTGGTGGAAAGGGCACTGGACTGGGGGTCCAGGGACCGGAGCTTAATCCCACCCCCACCTTGAACTACTATGTGATCTCCTGCAAGTCATTAATTTCTCCAGATCTTGACTTTCTTGTCTCTTATCTCTAAGAGGAATCACCTGACACCTTCGCGCTCTGAATGACATGGTACCTGATGGGACCACCTCGCTCTCATGATCCTAATTCTTTTAATCTTATCTCAGTCTCTTCAACCACAATTATCATCTATTAAGCACGTCCGTGTGCCAGGCATTTTCCAGTCATTAATGCTTTTAGAGGTAGATAGCAGTGCCCACCTGTTGGATGTCACCTGCCAGGTTGCCCTGCCGGTCCCAGAGGCTTTGCCTTCCACCTACAAAGCTGTCAGGGAGGTGCTACTGGGTGAAGTCCTGGATTTCTGAGTTTGGGGACTTACATGAATTAAGTAGGGCTTCCACGTACTCTGTATTCTGGGCTCAAGAACTGCACGTTGCTAGAGAGAGTACAGGTACTTCCAGTGATACAAACTTGAGTTTCAATTCCACCTCTGTCACTTATTAGCCACATGCCTGTGCAGAACTAAAATGTCCTCCCCTGAGAAGCAGGTAAAACAGTCTTGACCCCAGTGAACGGTGGCGATGGTTAGGTGAGGTAATTCACGGGGCAGCGTTTGCATGGGGCCTGGGGCAACTTGTCCACAGATAGTGACACTCTTCCTTGCTCCCAGCCTCTCTTTCTGCCAATGAGAAAACAGCTCTTGATCTTCCACAGTGTGCCAGGCACTGGTCCGGGACTGTGGACACACTGGTGGGCAAGGCCTTGCCTGCCTTCATGGATCCCACAGTTCTCAGCTCCGGACTCGGTTTCTTCCGCAAAGACTCAATGGAGGGAAATGTGGAGTCTCCTTTCTGGAGGCCTTTGCTCTTTCCTTTAAGTTTCTTTTGTTAATGCCATGCGTTTCGGTCTCAGCCTTGCAGGGACACGCTGACAGTGCTTGTGGTTCTCTCCTCCTAGCCCTGTCTTCTCTCTGACTCCCAGAAACTGTGTTCTCTTGACAGACTCTTCCCTGGTATACATCCTGTTTGATATGCCCAGGATTTGCAATGCTGACCCCTCCCCAAGAAGGCCTTTCCCTTCCAGCTCCACATGTCCTCTCCAAGTTCATGGCTCAGCCCAAATGCCATCCCCTCCCCAAGACTTCCTACATCCTTCTCCCTAATCCCCCTCCCCATCTGAGAAGTCACTTTCTTCTTGCAGACTCCCGAAGCACTATGTGGTCCAGTGCATAGCTCTTCACTGTCTGAGTAATTTTGGTTCTTGTGGTGGGTGCCTGATTCAGCCCCAGCCATCCTTGGATTTTATGGTGTCTAGCACGTTTCATGTGTGCCCTGAGCAAACATTTTCCACATGGAGAGATTGAATAAAGGCCCTCAACATGCAGGACTGCTGTTAGCTGGGGGGCCCACCATCTGCCTCCTCTGATACCTACTTGAGAAGACCTGTGTTTTCACTGGGGTTTGAGCTAAGAATGTCAAGTCTGTTTTCTTCATTTTCCTTCCATCTAACTTCATGCTCCTTCCCTGCTGGAGGGTTTTCTGTTGCTCAACAGTGACCTCTTCCTATTACCTTGTTTTGACATACTTGGGTGTGAACCAGAGAAATCCCACAAAGCTGAGACACCCCCAAATTAGAGGTAGGCCATTTCTGCCTTGATTTCTACCAGAATGTAGGAAGTATGAAGCCGTCCTCTGGAATCACACACAGAAGGCATAGGAGAGGAATTAATGAGAAATTTAGGACAGAAAGCTGTTTTGCTTCATGGGGAGTTATTTGGCTATTTATTTCCCTGAGCGCTGCTTTAAAAAGTTCACTCCCATTAGTGAAAACCTCTCAGAGGAGGCCCCACTCTGGGAGGCTGCCAAGGTCTGCCTCGTTGAAAGGACATCAGGGCTCAGAGCCAAGCAGTGTGTCCAGAGGACCTGGTTGCAGCCACAGTGAGAGGGGACCGAGAATGTGGATTTTTGATTTGGGATCATGCACCATCCACCCCATAGGTGGGGTGGAGGAGGGACCGAGGGGAAGCTTCCCCTGCAGTAGGTGCAGACCCTGAGGGCCAGGTAGTCACAACCCCAAGAAGCAGTTGTTTGAACTATTCTGCTGTGTATTAACAGTAACCAGGGTACATCCCCATCCATGCCTGGCTAACCTGAGATGGTTTGGTAGTTAAGGATGAGAACCTGCCATGGACTTGAACAGCAGGGTTTGAATCCACCTCTACCACTTCTAGCTATGCAAGTTTTGTAACTTCCCTAAGCTGGAAAGTGGGAATAACAATGCTACTACCTTCAGAGGACTACGAGCCAGGGTCCCAGTAGGAAACAGTACATGCAAACTCACTCACACAAAGGTTAATACAGGGGCGCCTGGAAAAAGGGTGGCTCCTTAAGAGGGAGGGCAGTATTTAGAGAGAGAAACAATGAGGCCCTGTTTGCTCCTCTAGAACCAAATCGGGGTGGTCAGGATGATGGAGACAGGGAGGCTGGGTGGAGAGGCCTGACTAGGACCCTGTGCGACCTGTGGACAAGGGTCACAGCCCGTGCACGCAACCCACGTCCACTCTCGCTATCTTCTCCCCCTTCCTCCAGCCCTGGAGGCACCTAACCAGGTCCGAGGGCAAGGAGTCCATGTACATACCTGTATACAGGCCAGCCTCCTGGGTCAGACAAAGGTGGAGAGTGGAGCTAGAGGGGCAGATGGAAGATCCTGGCAGTGGGAGCTTTGTTGAGTTGAAGTTTAAGATTAAGATTTGTCTCTGGCAGGTGCTGGACAGCTACTGGCACAGTCAGGGACTCAACAGGTGGCTGTTAACATTGTCATCATCACTATTATTGTTATTGCCATCACTGTTGTTGTTCTTATTATTACTGAAATGCCCTCCTGTGGCTTCTGCCACCAGCTCTCGCTGTTGCAAACACCCATGGAGATCATGTCCCTTGGCCTCTAGCTCCCCCCAGTAGAGTTCTCTGTTTTGGAACGAACAGAATACTTTGAGGATCCCTGAGGCAAGCTATGGGGTGAAGCTAAGCTGTTGTCATTGTCACCCAGCATCACATCCTTTTTTTCCCCCCATAGGGACCCTCCACTCCTGAGTCCTGGCCCTCCCAGGAGGACGCTTTGTCAGTGCTACTTTGCCACGAGGACCCGTGTCTGAAATGAAAGCCATGCCCTGGAACTGGACTTGCCTGCTGTCCCATCTCCTGATGGTAGGGATGGGCTCCTCCACTCTGCTCCCCCGGCAGCCACCCCCACCGTCCCAGAAGCGGTCTTTTGTCACATTTCGTGGGGAACCAGCGGAAAGCTTCAACCACCTGGTGGTGGACAAGAGGACAGGACACATTTACTTGGGGGCTGTCAACCGGATCTACAAGCTCTCCAGCGACCTGAAGGTCTTGGTGACCCATCAGACAGGGCCGGATGAGGACAACCCCAATTGTTACCCACCCCGCATCGTCCAGACGTGCAATGAGCCCCTGACCACCACCAACAATGTCAACAAGATGCTCCTGATAGACTACAAGGAGAACAGGCTGATCGCATGTGGGAGCCTATATCAAGGCATCTGCAAACTCCTGAGGCTGGAGGATCTCTTCAAGCTCGGGGAGCCTTTTCACAAGAAGGAACACTACCTGTCGGGAGTCAACGAGAGCGGCTCTGTCTTTGGAGTGATCGTCTCCTACAGCAACCTGGACGACAAGCTCTTCATTGCCACAGCAGTGGATGGGAAGCCAGAGTACTTCCCCACCATCTCCAGCCGGAAGTTGACCAAGAACTCAGAGGCAGATGGCATGTTCGCTTATGTCTTCCACGATGAGTTTGTGGCCTCAATGATTAAGATCCCTTCGGACACCTTCACTGTCATCCCTGACTTTGATATCTACTATGTCTACGGCTTCAGCAGTGGCAACTTTGTCTACTTTTTGACCCTTCAGCCTGAGATGGTGTCTCCCCCAGGCTCCACCACAAAGGAACAGGTTTACACATCCAAGCTTGTGAGGCTTTGCAAGGAGGACACCGCCTTCAACTCCTACGTGGAGGTGCCCATTGGCTGTGAGCGCGATGGAGTGGAGTACCGCTTGCTGCAGGCTGCCTACCTGTCCAAAGCCGGGGCGTCGCTTGCACAGACCCTCGGAGTCCGTCCAGAGGACGACCTCCTCTTCGCTCTCTTCTCCAAGGGCCAGAAGCGGAAGATGAAATCCCTGGATGAGTCGGCCCTGTGCATCTTCATCTTGAAGCAGATCAACGACCGCATTAAGGAGCGGCTGCAGTCCTGCTACCGGGGTGAGGGCACGCTAGACCTGGCCTGGCTCAAGGTGAAGGACATCCCCTGCAGCAGCGCGGTGAGTCAAGGGAGGACCTGCGGGCTGGGACAACACGGTGCGGAGGGAGGCCCCTGGCATGCGGCCTCTGAGGGCTGTGAATCACCCATGCCATTTTGCAGATGGGACAAGTATATCCTGTCTCTGGGTCTCACTGGACTCAGATCATCGCCAGCTCAGACATGCATGACTATGCAACTGAGCTTATAAGAATCAGAGCTGGAGCTAAAACGTAGATTTCCTATCACGGCACTTTTCTCTATTGCATATTGGCTTACTGGTTATAGGAGGGAGTGCTAGGAATAGGCAGGAATTGTGTGACCTACATGTCACATGCACCAGGCATTGCTGAAGGCCAGTTATCATGTGCTGTAGGGCAAGATGTATACCCACCCTCTTACCAACCATACCTGGGAATCTCTTCCCTGGGAGCTTAGAATGAAACCAGTACTGGAGTAATGAGTCAGTCTTTCTGCATTTGAGACAGATATGGAATTTCAGGAGAGTTACGTTTTCAGTCCCTTGTGTATCTGTAGGAAATGGAGCGATGTGAGCAGAAGAAGTAGGGTGAGGGTTCAGTGAACAGAGAGAGGAGAGCAGAACTTGCTTAGAAAACTGTATTTATTAAGCATCTTCTGTGTGCAGAGCTCCACAGAGGAGACAGCACAAAGTCAGAAGGCAGCCAAGGAGGAGTTCTGAGTGACAGGAATATTGAAGGGCATGGAAGGAAGGGCTGGTTTAGGCTGCTGTCCCGGGGGCCTGTGGGCCCTGAGAGTCAGACTGGACCTCAGGCTGCTGCTCTGCTAGGTGATCACAGGTGCGACTGGTGACTCAGCCTCACTCACTTGTGACCCAACGTGAAAAGCATCAGCCTTTCTGTGGCTTGACTTCTGGTCACCTTTACGGTGGTCCAACTTTTTTCTAAATCATTCTTCAGCTGACTGGGAAAGCTCAGCTGTTGGCCTCTCCTATCCCCTGTATCACTCCCCTTTCCCTTTGTATTGTCCAGTGAAAAAGTTATGAACCTAGTTGGAGAAAAGCTATCCTATAAGCTTAATGAAGAAGGGAAAATTCACCCGTCAGGTAGAAGCGTTCATTGGCATGGATGTGATTCCTGATATTTAGTCAAACTCTGGTGGAATTCCGTATTAGGAAATGTATTTGGGTTGATTTAAAAAGTGTACGTTTCCCTTCATGAAGTATGACCACTTGTGAAGCAGACCCCAGAGGGCACTGGCATGCACCCCACCCAGCTTATGGTGAGGCCATTTCTCCAGTCATTGGGATTTGGGGTTGGGGGAGAAGAGGCAGGAGAAAGGAGGGACTCAGCAAAGTGTGTCTTCGGTGCCCTAACATTTAGGCTCAGTGCACCTTCCAGAGGTGAGTTGTCTGGGTATCTGGGCTGAAAGGAAAAGGTGCCATTCCTCCTTGGAGGCCCTGGAAAGCCAGGAGATCCCTAGTGTCACAAAGGAAACGGGGGAGGTACTATGGGCCCCAAAATGGCAGCAATAATTAATAGTCACTGCAGGCCAGAGAATCGAGGGCACTCTACTGTGTCTCCTGAACCCTAGCAGGTGATGTATCCTTCAGAGTCTTTGGTTTGGGGCAGGAGCTGACCCACTCAGAAGAGCCCATGAAATGGGCTTATGAACTTGGGGAGGCCATGCCCCAGTGAAGGCAGTAAATGGCAGTGCAGATGCTGTGCTGTGTAAAGGTGTATCACACACTCGGCCATCGTCCCCGGGAGACACATTAGAATGTTGATGGCCCTTAGAGATCCTCTAGTGTAAACTCTTATGCCATAGCTCAACCAAGTGAGTGAAATGTCCAAGGTCATACATCTTATGAATGAACGGCAGCCACAGCCTTGAGAATAACCCCCTTCCCTCTCTATCGCCACATTCACACACACTGTATGGACACACGTGTACACATACCTGTGTATACACATACACAATAAATACCCTCATCAGCATGCACACATAAACCCTAGGTTAGAGAATGGCAAGCTTATGCTGGGTGCTTACTCTTACTAAGGAACTAGTTCTTTTGAGGTCAGAGAGGTTGGCTATTTTTTCTGTAGACACTCTTCTGTTGAGAGCTTGCTCTAACCCTGTGTTTTTGGGAGTAAAATCAGCTGCAGGGATCAGCCTCACTGCCCACGGGCAGGAGTGTGCCCCACCCCTGCTCCCTGCCACAATACAAAAAGCCAAGTTCAACATGGACGTCTGCAGAGCCGCAGGTCCCAACACTGCACAGTGGCCTTGGGGAGAACAGAGGGAAACAGCTTCTCAAGACAGGCTAATGCCAGGACTGGAGTAATGGAGCCAGATAACAGGCTTTTGATTTTTTGGGGGCTTTAATTAGCCTTTTCAAGTTAGAGACAAGCACAGAGCTAAGAGGAGAAAGGAGGCCAGAAACTGCGCTCAGGGCTGGGGCTGTCTCTCCAGCCAGGCTGAAAGGCCACAGCGGCTTTTAATGCGCAGTATCAGTTTCCTTTGATTCGCCGATCCTCGAGTTACTCTGCTCTGGAGCTCTCGGCCGCAATTGATTTGGCCTCAACTCAGAGCACGCATGTTTCATACGCCGTCAGCCAGGCTCGGCTCCTGGGCGTCCCCACTGAGGAACCCTGGTCCGCACACTGTTGGCAAACACAGCTCTTTCTCCACCTTTCCCCATGGCCGTTGGGTTCCTTTTCATTTTCCCTTCCTGCCTCGAGGCGGGGATGGACAGGTGAACTCTTGAGTTCTCTTTGTCTTCGAGTCCAAGCTTCCCTTGGGGCCTGAGAAGTAGAACCCAGCCTCCGGTGGCCTCTATCCTGTGGTGTGTCAGCGGTAGAAAAATAGCCCAGAGGGTTGACTTTTAGGACTTGTGTTTTGCATGGTAGGGGTCCCCTATGGGTTTTATCATAGTCACAACTCAAAGAGCTTGAAAAAGGGGGTCTGATGAGCCGTTGATTTTTCTCATGCTCCTGCAGTTCAATTGCCCTAAGCTAGAATGTTTATTCTGTGGAGCTCTTTGGGCCTTTCTGGCCCCTTCTATTTCCTGGGCCCACATTCCTTCCCCTGAAATCATGCCTCCAAAACTCAGAGCCAGGAGCAGCATATGTCCTGGGCCCCTGACCCCTGATCCCCCACCAGGTCCCCGCTGCCCCTCCGACCATGTTCAGGAGGATGGGGGAGGCGCAGAGAGCCTACCTGTGTGACTTGGCCTGCCGTGCCACGGGGCATCCCTGGAGCTGTACAGTGGGCCACGGCCTGGGGCCCAGGCCAGGAGAAGCCATGGAGGAGGAGGCAGGAGCCTCAGTCTGCAGGCCCCTGAGAGTTCCCTGTTTTTACTGCAGGCGCATTGGGGAATTCTGGCGGGGCCCACATCACAGAGGAGGGCCAAGGGTCAGTAGTGGTCTCGTCATGGGACAGTCACTGCGAATGTCCATGCCTGTTGCCAAAGCAAATCCCTGAGTGGGTGTTGGGTGTAGAGGCTGGGGAAGCAGCCCTGTGTTTCCTGGTGCTCGTGGGGGATGGAAGCAGCTTCTGTCCTTGCCTTGGGGCCACTCCTCTCCTGGGTCCTAGAGGCTTTTTAGCCTGAATGGAAAGAGGAACCCAAGAACAAATGGGGTAGCATCTGCAGATTGCTCTCAGGATCTCAGGAGGGCATGGGCAGAAGGAGGGTGCTAGAGGGGCCACCCAGGGGGCCCAGTTTGCCTGGGGGTACAGGGGGCTAAAGAGCAATCTGAGGCCTTTTGCTGATGATCAAGCAGGTGAGTTAATGATAATGCAATTTCTTTGGGATGGTCTCTACTTCCATCCCCTTTGAAGGCTGCCACGCAGGCTCCTGACACCTGTCTGCAGAGCACGGGATAGTTAGGGTGAGGAGACCATACATAGCCAGTAGCTTCTGTCATATGCCAGAGCCTACGCTGCCCAAGGTGACAGCTCCCAGCCCTTCCTTGGGATCCCGGACACCCCTGACCTGGAGTTGCCAGCCAGGCTGGAGAGTGTGCTGTTGTGGGCCAAGGTTCTTGTTTTCTCTGTGCCGAGTGGCCTGGCTCCCCAGAGTCCCCCAGGCAGGGCTATCTATTTCCTCCTCAACCTTTTCTTCAGCCTCTGGCTTAACCTCACAGAAAACTAGGCCTTCTGTCTCCAAATGTATTAATGAGTGGATGAAACATTTATTAGGCCTTTGACAATGAATTCAAACCTGGTCGATGCCAAGAATCATGAAATGACATCGGTCCCCAGGAGCCTAAGAGTCCAGGAGTGAGACGCGCCCAAGCAGGTCATTATGGTCTATGTGGCGGGAACAATGACTGTGGTCCTGGGGGTGACCATTGGTCACTCCACTCAAACCTTCCCTGAGTTTGAACCTAAGGGACAAGTGGATGGATGTGGATGTAGGAGTCAGGCATCATCAGCTTTAGTGCTGACAAGGCTAAACGATGCAAAAATCAGCTTCTTAATCTCGCCCTGGAGCCTTGAGCTTAGAGTGACCTTCCAACAGAAAATGTAGGTCTTTGGGGGCAGAAGCTCTTATCCAGAATCTCTGCCTCGCACCTGTCAAGCTCCAAGAGTGGGAGCAGTGTGGCAGCTTATGAGCAGCCTGATAACCCCACTGTAGGAGTTTATATGGTGCTTGACAGTTTCCAAGGGGTTCCTCACCTCCCTTCCTCTCTCCACAGTACTGTGTATGATAATAGCAAGAGCAGCCATCCTCTCCAGTGGAGGAAATGGAGGAACAGAGAAGTCAAGTACTTCACTCAAGGTCATGTAGTTGGCAGACTAGGACCTACTGTACATCCTAATTCTCAGCCAAATGCTTTCCCCACTGGTGTTTCTCAGGGGTGTGCCAGTGGCATCTAGGATGGGACAATTCACTGACTGGGCATCGCAGGACATTAACTATCCAGGGCACTAAAGCCGGAAGTGCCAATGGGACTCCCCAAATACTGCAAGACCTAGAAAAGCCCCTCGCCATTCCAACAGTGGAAAACCAGTGTTAGACCAAGGGCCTTTCTGACTTCGGTGTTTCCCCGCCAGCCCAGCCAGTCTCACAAGGTTCACAGAGGTACAGGGGCTGAGCTTGTTACATTTAACCCCCAGCTTCAGTTCATGCCTGGCAGTGGGAGTCGTGAAGGATGAGCACCCCATTCATGGGCGCTGTTACCTTGACTCTTCTGTTTGTTGTTTCTCAGGCACAGCAGTCCTGAGAGGAGGCAGGCTGGCCCCCCATCCCAGCCTGGACGGTCACTCAGGTTTGTCTGGCGCCCGAGGTTCTGAAACGCTACAAGACTGAGCATCCGGAATGGCCAGGCGGCCGTCCCAGGCTCCGGGCGCTGGTCCCTGCCGGTCTGCTTGGGGTGTTTTCTTTTCATGCCGGCAGGAAGGGCGGCTCTGCGCAGATGGGGTGTATCCTGTTGTTTATGGCGCTGGGCAGGCTTTCTCTTTCTGCTCAGCCACGGTCCTCTCGCAGAGCAGGAACTCCTCCTCTTGCTGCGCTGGCCCCCCTTTCCACCTCTATCACGTTGGCCCCACACACGTGCGCACACACATGCACACACTGTGGCGCACTAAACACACGTGCCCTATTCCACTCTCGGGTCCCTGTGACAACACACATCACCAAGCTCCCTTTACATCAGCCCAAGCACTTACCTCTCACAACCCATTGAGCCCCGTACTCCTGACTTCTGGTTTAGCATGTGGAGGTGGGGCTGCCATATCACAACCTGAAGCTTTACGGAATCAAGTCTTCCCCTCCCCCCTTGAGATGGCTTCTGTCCTAGATATTCAGGTAAAAAGCCCACCCTCCTCCCTCTTTGGCCAGCAGGGTTTGCAGTGCAAGTCACGTCCCAGTCAAGTGCACGTGGTGTTTGGGGGATAGAATGGTGGCCATGCCCTGGGTGGTGGGGCTGGTCCTAGAGAGAGGAAGGACCTTGAGGTTGGCCTCGCAGGCTGGACGTATCCTCCCAGGATGCCACCCTGGAGCCCATTGGGTCAGCAGGGAGAGTGTCAAGACCCAGGAATCACATATGCAGAATTTTAGTACAGATAGCTGCCCAGGGACCCCAGGACAGAGTTTACCGAGCGGTGCACTGGGATGTGGGGCCATGCAATGCTGTGTCCTGATGCCAGGACATCTGCTTCATGAACCCTGGCAGGGAAGTGTGCACACCTGCACTCACACGCGTGCGGACACGGGCTCTCTCTCTTCTGGGTGCCGACTCGGTTCTCATGGCGCCTTTTCCCCCCATCATTTTTGCCTGGCTCTATCTCTCTCTGCTGTGTTTCACTGTCTCACATTCACGCTCTGTGCACGGCCATGTCTTTGGCTCCCTCTCTCTCTTCTCCCTGCACTTTATTCTCCCTCACACCTCCACATTACACGAAGCAGCTAATACAGCGAGACGTCTCTCCCATGTGCACACATGGATGTGCAAACACCCCATACGGCGCGCGATAGCTCTCCCCAAATTGGCAGCCAAGCTTCTTGTTCAATCAGCATGCACACCAGCCAACTTGACAATCCCGAATTGCATGTGTGGGCCTTTCCTTCAATTCCAGTCCTTCTCACAGGGTGGCGTCTTGGCCCGGATGCTGGCTGAGAGTTTGGACCTTTGGGTCTGAGCCAGTCCCGACTCCTGAGATGTCACTGGGCTGGCGAGCAGCTTCCCGTTTGTTTTGAATTATACATTTTGTCTTCAAGAAGGAGGTGATAAGATAACATCCCTTTAATAAAGTGTGCCAAGACTGCTAAGGAAAGAGACATTCCTTAAATAATATAAACATAGACATTCATAAATAGTGATAGACGCAGGGCACCTTATATTTGTAGGACACTTGAACAGCTTCGTAGCCCCATCTGTGTATCCTCCTTTGGTTATGATAACCACGTGGCGGGATAGAAAGAGACTTAACAATATTGCTGTGATTTCAACCTTATATTTTTTCTCCGTTGGTATCTGATTTAGAGAGATTTGGGCTGTGCCTCATCCAGGTGTTACGGTTAGTATCCCAGGCCTGGAATGCGCCTGTTTGCCTCCGTTTCCATCCTTCACATGTGATGAAGGCTAAGCTAAGGTATTTGGAGGAGAGGATACATTCCGGGCCAGACTCTCCCTGCTGTTATCTTTAGGTGTCCCTTCACTTTCACGAGGCAGAAGGGAATGGCTCCACATGGGCTCAGAGTACTTGCTTCGTTTCATTAACAAAGTTAGTGGAGAGAAAAAAAAATAAAAAAGACAACTAAGGGAGTTCTCTCTTTGGACTCTCAATTTACATTTTTTTCCTAGTGGATGGGCCCCGCATGCAGCCCACGTACATCAGATGGGATCAGCGGGAGAGAAGAAAGGCCACATCTTTCCCTGGTCTCGGCGTCATTGCTCTGTCTCTGCTATTGTTCCAAAATATAATGGGATTTGTTTGGCTGATTTATCCCGCATGCAGGCAACATTATCCAGACTCACACACGGCCCGAGGAGCAAGAGGGGAAGATGCACGGTAACGAGAGTGGGGCTAATAAAATTTATTCCCACTAACAAGGGAATGACCTACCCCATAATTCAGCCTGGCGAGCAGGGCCAGTGCTTCCCAGTGCCCGCCAGAAAACACACAAACTTAATCATTGCGGCATGCCCCACTCCAATTAGAGTGCCAGTGGCGGCTGAGGTTGTCTGCGAAGACTGGGAGGGGAGTGGGAGCTTGGGATTGATGGGCCATGTGGGATTTCTTTGCCCTTGACAGGTGGCCACGGGGGGGATCTCTGAAGTTAAGGTACCAAAGGAGAAGGGCAGCCCCCAAGTGGGTTTTGCTTGGTCCCATTCCCAATGCTGAGAAGCCTTCCCTGGTAGTTCCCCTGGATCCCGGTTTGGCTCTTGGACTAGTTCCAGCGTGGTGGCCGCCTGCAATACTGGGCCAGTGGAGTTGGGTTCCGATTCTCTTGCTTGGCCGGCCTATGGCACCGGTCATGGCGTCATGGCCCTCTCTGCTTGTCAGAGTGCGGAGTGCAGGGCTCTCTGTCACTGAGCGGACGAGGAGGAGGAGGCCATGGGGTCCAGCCCCGGATCCTGAGTTGGAGCTCCTTTCTGGCCGCCGTGCTCTGCAGCTCCAGGGCGGATGCCTCTCCATAGCTCGCTGGTGGTTACAGACAGGCCTGCAGAGAGTGGTTAGTTAATGCCCCTCTCTGGGGAAAACAGCTCAGATTAGTGGCATTAGTTTCCTATTAGAAGGGTGGCTTGTTACTGCAATGAGTAAAAGACCACTTAGCTATCTGGTGGGATTGGACAACAGACAGTTTCAAAACACATCGAAATACCAAAATGAGTATAAAAATAAGTGTTGCTTTTAGCAGATCACTTTCATTGTTCAATGGGTAGTTAAGTGCATTAATTCAATGGCTGCATGCCTCAGAATACACACACACACACTCACACACACACACACATACACACAGCTCCTAAAATACCATGACCTTCTACAGGTAGGTATAAACCACTTTTGAGATGCTTAGAAACAAGGTGCTTGACTCTTGAGAACATTGGTGTAGTTTGTTGGGTTGTTTTTCCAACCCTGAGGCATTTTTCACGAAGCTCCTCCAAAAAATGCGTTTGTCTAACTAGGTTATTGTGGCTGCGGTTTGCTGGCTTCCCCTCTCCTTGCACACATTTATTTTCCTGCAGCCTCATTGAAAAAGACACAATAAAGAATCCTGAGATAATGTGTTAGTGTTGAAGCGGACGAGGCCTCGTTCCCGCGTCCCTGGCTGTGCTCACAGTCGGGTGCAGGGCCAGCCTTCACCTGTTGCAGAACTTCCCTGCTCTCAGGAGAGTTTAACCTGTAGGGTCAGCCTGGGCCACAGGGAGGGGAGAGACTCATAAAAGGGAAAGGGACGTTTGTACACAGCAGTAAAGCCATTAGGGGGCTGTATAGTTTGATTGTATTTCTTTCTTTGTTCCAGAAACTAGCACTGAAGCACAAGGGACTGGTTTATGGAGTCAGAGGCTTTCTAAGGGGAGTAAACCCAGCCTGCTAGAGCCTCCTCCCCAAAGTATTTCTGCCCCTCTGAGGCCTCTTTCTGCTTACCTCCTCCCCCTCCGTCGGAGGGCACGGAGTCACCGTGGACAACAGACCCTGGTGCATTTATGAACACCTAGGGGTCAGGGGTCATGTTTGAGATACGACCCCAATAAGTGGGCGGCCTCTATCTTCCTGTACGGCAGAGCTTTACGGCGGGAGTCTGTGTACAGACGCGCGGTACTGCAGCCTATCTGATCCGTATCTCCCTTTAGAGAGAAATCCTACATGTGTAATTCCCCGATTCCCCATTTCCAGTGGAGGTCTGCTATGATCAGCTCCTGGGTGTATAGGCGTGTGTGTGTATGTACGTGTAATTAATTAATGGGAAGAAATTGAGGGCTGATGAGCATGAAGAATTCAAAGGCCTTCTCTCTCCCACGTCAGCAGGTGCCTCGTGGGCTTCCCTCCTCTTTTTCTCCTAACTTGTATTTCTTTTCAAAGCTTCAGCTCTTGCTTTCCTTTGGGACCAGGCAAGGAGGAAGCCCAGCTCTCCTCATTGCCTAAGGGCCTGCTCCGGAGGGGAGAGTTAGTGGGCCCTTCTAGAGGTCACAGAAGGTCAGAGCACTCACTGGGCTCTCCCCGGAACAGCTCGATCCCTGGGACTAGGCTTCCCTGATGTGCAATAGGTTTCTTTGGGCCCCCCCCCTTGCAACGCCAGCAGAATCCCCTTTGGAGATCAGGGGGGGATTTTTTCCCCTCTGGACTGGGAATTTGGGGTTCTGGTACCTACTTTCTGATAACGTGATTGGTCATGGGCTGGTGTGGGGGACATCATTTCACTCTCTAGTCCTCCATTTCCCCTCCTGTGAGATTCTAAGATCATGAGTCATTTTCCTTCTCCACAACAACACCACGTGTAAGAGAGTGGCCGTGTACTGTACTTGACAGAGAACCCCGAAGTGCGCCCAGGCAGCTCCGCTTCCGCAAAGCCCTGCTGTTTCCCCAGGCATTGGTGGCCGTGCCCTCAGTGCCCCCAGCACCGGGTTCATTACAAAAGTAGGGTGCGTGTGGCCCTGTCCGATCATGGCCAGGCCTGTCTCCCTGACTGGGGAGACGAGACAGGGGAAAAGGGGAGAAGCTGAAATATTGCATCTCTATATTGTTGGGTCCTTACCTACGGCTTGTGCTTAGTAGGTCCTTCCTAATCGTTTTAAGCACATTAATGAGTGAGGCACACTTAATAGTGTTCTTCATTTAGTGCCTTGGTTTCCTGTAATAGAAATAGCAGATCCAATAGTGTAATAGACCAAAAGTTTGATGGAAAAGGTTTAACCGAAAGCCCCACAGTGGGTGGGCTTGAGCCAATCTCTGATGTTCTTTTCCCCTGTCTAACGTGGCCTCCCAGCTTCGGGAGTGGGCATGGGGAGTGCTCAGGACTCTTGTGCATGGGACCAGAGGCTACTTTTGCATTCAAGGAGGGCAGGAGAACTGGCTTGCTCACAGATGGAAGGACTCCTCTGTGCTGGACCAGAAGCTGCCCGTGAGTAATGGGAGGACCAGGTCTGACCTTGAGTTTTCCGTTCAGGGCTCAGAGACTGCTGCTGCCGGCCTGGAACAGTTGGCAGCTGCCTCTTGGTTGGAGGAGTTGGCTGTGTGGTCTATACCTGTTGTCTCACCTGGTTGGCCTCCTGTGGATTAGTTTGGGATACTTATAAACAATGATGCCTGGGGTACGAGGGGCAGCCTGTGGCTGTGGGAGAGACTGTGTCCCAGAATTGAGCTAATTGGCCCACAGGGGGATGAACCCGGTGACCCCTGACTCATTAGCACTGCATTTGGGCCACTGAGCTCTGGCCTACTTCTGACCTTTCCATAATAAGGACTGAACACGGTTTTCTTCAAAGGCGGGGCAACCGAGGGTGGGCTCAAATAGCTCCACTGGGCAGGGGAGGAGCCATCAGGAGCCAGCCCAGGGGCTATGCTAGCGGGGGTGGGGGGTGATTTCAGGGTCAGGTCCCCACTCTGCCTCATCACCTTTGGCCTTCAGGATGGAGTGGCACAGTGTCAGGGACATGGTGGTTTCTTATGATTGAGTCATGAGGACATGGGGTCAGGAGATGAGGTAGAGGGCCTCCAAAGGAGACATCTCCATGGTCCTCGAGGCCTGTCTTCCTCTTCAGCCCTTCCCAAAGAGTCTCCGCAGAGGCCACCAGACCCTTTGGGGGTTCCTGGGTGGCCGCTCTGTCCCAGAGGCTGGGAGACGGCTGGAGGACGGCTGCTGGCAGCATTTCCGTGGAGATGACAGAGCTTTTCAGAGTGCTGGTCTCTTTGAGGAGTGGGAGCAATTTCCCTGTAATTGGTAAAGTAATCGTAACTGCTCTGTCATTTGTATGTAGCGACACATAATTACACAGCAACCTTTGCCGCCATGGGCAAGGGAAGCAGGGTGAGCTAACAGATCGTAATTCGGAGTGTCAGTGCTGGCTCCCCAGGCCACCTGCACCTACACCCTCAGGGAGGCCCTTGGGAGGCTGCCATGGGCCTCTCCACATCCTGGGCTGTGGGTTCTGCTCCAGAGTGGGAATGCTTGTCTCATGTCATTCTCTCCTTGGCATGGTCTACATGCCCTCCGCCAGGAAGGGACCTCCATGGTGAGGCAGGCCAGTGCATCGCAAACGTCCGCGGCAGAGGGGTCACCGGGAGGGTGTTAAGATGCAGATCTCGGAGCCTCACCCCAGATCCAGTAGGTCTGAGAGAGGCCTGAGAATTTGTGTTTCCAATGAATGGTGCTAAATCTTCAGGATCTTCAACCATTCGTTTGCTCTGCCCTTCAGCCTCATTGATCTGATAGATCTGCAGGAAGTTTCACCTTTGCTATTTCATCTTGATAACATTAGTTCCTTTCCTCTTGATAACACCTCTCTGAGGCAGATGCCATGAATTTCCCCAAAGAGGCTGAGACTCATCAAGGTTGTCTGAATTGTCTAAGGGGACAAACAGTAGTAAGCGTTAGTACTCCCATAGCACTTAGGAAGCGCCAGGCATTGTTCTGCTTGTACTAAATCAGTTAATTTCACAACAGTATATACTATTATTACTGTCCTCATTCTACCTATGAGAAACTGAGACACAGAGTTTAAATATAACTTGTCCAAGATCACACAGTAGTAAGTGGTGGAGCTGGGATTTAAACCTTGGCCTTCTGGTTCAAATCCCAAAGTGTTAGGCACTGTGAAGCTTAAGCTTCCATCCATCCATCCATCCATCCATCTATCCATCCATCCATCCATCCATCCATCCAACAATCCATCTAATGCATATGTCTTAATGTACTATGAACCTAGAACAAAGCTAAGGGTGCAAAGATGCATAAAACATGGTCCCATCCTTGAGCCCATGGTTCCTGGAATCCAGTGGTCACCAGTCTTCATTTATAACCCATATATTCCATGAGGACACTTGTGGAAAGCAGGTTTTGTACCTTCTGATTGGGATAGAGAGGACCCTGGAAGGTGTGGCCCTGTCAAAAGCTTCAGGATCTGCTCGCAGGGTTGCCCACGCAAGCATCACATATATTTCCATGCAACAGACCTTATTTTTTTCCCAGCTGAGAATAAATTTGCTCTCTAATAAGCAAACATAATGGTGGCAACAGCTCGTTCGTGTGTGTTCGTGGTGTGGTGGGAGGAAGGGCTGCGACCTGGGTCTGCAGGTGAGGCTGGCCTCCTGATTATAGCCGCGGTGAGTCCCTTCCTGAATCCTCACGCTGCTGTTCTAATCCTGCCGTTAATGGGGCCCAGGGGAGGGCTCGGCCAGGGCAGGAGTGGACGCTGTCCTCCCCCATCACCCAGGGTGCTCAGGAACCCACACTAGCCCTCAGGTGGCCAAGCCTTTCTCCAATTAGCCTTCCCTTCCAGAGCCCGCATGGCCCTGGCCCTGCCCCCCATTCCCTGGCCTCCCTGGGTCTGTGGGCCCCGTGGGGCCCTCTGGCTTCTCCGCCCGGAGCTGTAGTTGCCCTGTGGCTGCAGCTCTGATCACACCTGGCAGGCGTGCTTGTGGAGATCTGTGCTCTGGGCAGGGGGCATGCGGGGCCGCTTCCAGCAGCCGTTCTATCCCTGTTCGGGGCAGGATTTCCATCAGAAAAACTAACGTGAAACGTCACCTCACATTGATGAAATGCTTTCCTGTTTATCAGGTGTCTTCACACCTGTTATCTCACCTCAACCTCACAACGGTCCTTGTCTTGCTATTTGAAAGGCCAGGAAATTGAGGCTCAGAGACCAGGAGAAGCCTGTGCCTAGCTGTCTAGCTGAGAAGCGGCTGAGCTGCTATGTGAACCCCTGTCCTGTGTTTTTCCTGCTACCTCAGGGTTAAAACTCCCCCCTTCCCCATTGCCCCAGCTTTGAGGAAACAAAGAGTGAGCCCCCCCCCCACCATGCCACAGCCGGGTACCTCAGCATCCACGTCCACCTGGGCTGGTCCTGGTCAGAGGCTTCGGTCACCTCTTCACCACCTCGGGGCCCGCTCAGAGGCGCAGGGGAGCCTGGGGAAAAACTGTCATTGTCCCTGGAATGTACTCACCGCAGTAGAAGCCCCAGCTGCAGTCTTTTGGCGATGGCACCAGGAGGCAGGCCGCTGGGAGGGGATGGCTGTCAGCTACAGGTGAGGAGACTGGGACCTGGCTGCTGATGGAGCCTCAGATGGAGTTGTAACAAGCTGAAGATGTCAGAGCCCTGGCTGCCAGGCCACCAGGCTGAGCTGTCCTCTCTTCCTTCTGATGAAAACTTCCCTCCTCCGGCCCCTTTTCTGTGCCCTGGTGTCATAGCAGCAGGAACTCATGGGTCCCTGACTTTCTGTCTCTGAGCCACCAATGATTCAATGATGCAGTTGGTCAAATGCGTAACGCCTTCTTGTAGGTGATGGTTTATTTATTTGCCTGTCTTGCGCCCAGCCAAGGGGAAGAATGGTTTTCAGTAACTGACCACTCAGAAGTGCAATTCCGGGGACCGAGCGGCCTAAGCCTCCCCAGGCCAGCGAGACCTGTGTTCGTGCCGGGGTGGTGGGCGACTGAAACAGGGACTGCTTTGCTCCCTGCCTTGGTTTCCCCCTATGCAGAGTGGACAGTCAGTCCTTTAGCCTCATCTCCTTGGAAAATGGATCATAATGGGTAAGGCATGTTTGCTGGTGGCAGAGGTCCCTGCAGCCCAGGTGAGGGCTGAGAGAGTCAGGGACAAGCCCTCCTTAGGGACCAGAGGCAAGAACCCACAAGGCCACGAGCACGGCTACCACGCGCTCGGCTGCTCCTGGAACGCCTGACAGGTCACTGCGATTCCATCCAGCAAGGAGAGGCCACTGTCTCCCCTCTGCCCAGAATTTTCGTCCTCATTTCTGTCCATCCCCTTCACTTTCTACCACCTTTTTCTTCCCCCGTTTCCTCATTTTAGGGGAGAACCACAGAGATCAGACTAGACCTTGAAAGCTCCCTCCTAACCTGGATGTTTATAGTTGTTGTCGTTGTTATTTTTGGGGGGCGGGGAGAGGTTGTGTTTGGTCTGGGGCTGGTGGACCAGACCATGAAAGAGAGGCCAGAGGCAACAGAGGCTTGGAGCAGACGTCTGCTCTGCACGAAGCCTGCCCAGGCTAGCCCGACACCCACCCCCCAACCTCGCATCCCCTGCCCCTGGTCTGACTACCCCCCACCACAGTAAGAGGAAGGGGAGCGGTCCGAGAGAGGATTGCAATGCTCAGTACGTTGTCTTCCCTGAGATGGACAATGCCTGTCTCCTTCTCCTGGAGGGAGCCTGGGGCCCTCAGAGCCCCGAACAGCTCAGAGTTGGCCACTTTCATGCAGCCCCCTGGCCAGGCTCGCCTGCTGGTTCTCCAGATGCTGTTTCTTTGGCTGGATTGAAGCCTTTAAAAAAAGTGACACCTTGTATTTTATTTCACTCCTTTTTCTGAAGAGCCTGAAGGAAGTTTACAAGCATGAGCTCTATGGGTTTTATGGAAGCCCATCAAAAAGCAGGGGTTGTTTCCTTTATCTTTACGGAGTGGAAAATAAAAGTGCAGAAGATGGAATAACTCTTCTAAGACCACACAGTTCTTCCAAGAAGGAGGGGAAAATCCGGCGTAGGTTCGGAGAGCCCAGGAGAGGTCTACACCCCACCAAAGCTGCTTGCTGGGTAACCCTGGGACCTCATCAGCAGCCACAGTCAAGGTCCTCAGCGCTCTGCAGTAGGTCTGGACCCCCCGTGACCCTCTGCTCACGTGGGAACCTGGGGGCCTGGAATAGAACAGGGAGAAATCGAGCTGAAACACTGTGAGGGAAACCAGCCTGAAGCCTTTTCTTGTCAGTTCTCTGACTCCTGAAATTGCCCCAACTCAGAAGCTGGAGCTGGGATGGTGGGCACCACAGGGCATCGAGGGAACCTTCTCTTTAAGGAATGATAGTAGGTGCCCTGGTCTAAAACTGTTTAGGTAATGAAATATTTGGGAAAGGCTTAGATAATATTAAACATATTTATTCTTAAAAAGATTTCATGCCTTTCCTGTAACTAATAATTGTGAATCTCTTACATGGTGTTAGAATGTACTGTGTTTCCCAAAATTATTTGCCTGAGGAACCCTTTTATGGTAGAGCATCTTTGGAGGGCAGGGTCCCACAGAAGACCCTTTGGGAAGTGCTGGTGTAGCTACGACAAGGCCAGGCCTGCCCTGCTTTGCCATGCTCAAAAAGAACAGGGAGCCTGTGATTGGGCAGAGTGAGGCACCGCTGTGGCTGGTTGAGTTCATTCACAAACCTTCCATTCCTCCCGTTTCCCCTTTCCTGAGCCTCCTGTCTGTGCATGGCTCTGTCATGGCCCTGCCCTTCATGCGTTAATGTTTCCAGGTCTCCGTTCTATTGTACACTTGCGAGTCCTTCTCTGTGAGGGCTCTTTAACAGTGAGTACATGAGGAGACCACACCCCCCTGGCACCTGAGCAGAGCCATCAGGAGCCCATGCTCACAGGCGCTGGCCCAGTGCTTTCTGCTGTGAGTGTGGTGGTGACAATCTAAGCTACCAAGACAGCACCTGGAGTGGCTGTAGGAGGGGCAGAGAGACCATGGGGGTATGGTGAGAAGAGACTCTAGGAATATGTGCTTTTTAAATTTTTTGCCATGGTCCTGCAAACTATTTAGATAACTGTTGACATGTCACTTAGTTTCTCTGGAGCCGAATGTTTCATGTGAAAGAGATTTATACCATATCTAAGGATTCATCTAGCTCCCCAGTTCCCTGACTCAATACCTCAGTCAATCATCCCGATGCTCCCCACTAATTTTTCTTCTTTTTTATTTTCAGCTCTTAACCATTGATGATAACTTTTGTGGCCTGGATATGAATGCGCCCCTGGGTGTGTCCGAGATGGTACGTGGCATCCCTGTCTTCACAGAGGACAGGGACCGCATGACTTCTGTCATCGCGTATGTCTACAAGAATCACTCTCTGGCCTTCGTGGGCACCAAAAGTGGCAAGCTGAAAAAGGTAGGCATGAGGTGCAGTCATTTTGATTGTTGTGAAGACAGTCTGTCCCCACAGGATGGACAATGGCTTACGTTCTTTTGCTGTCTTGGGCCTGGTAGGCGAACGATACAGGTTGGGGTTAAGTAGACATGTTGCTGTTGAGGTTATGAGTGATAATCTCATCTTTCTCTGCCTTTGTACTTGGGTTTGTACTGGGGAATCACACTGGGGGAGTATGGATTCACCTCTTTCCGAAGGCTGGTGTGCCCATAGAGGTGTTACCCTAGCCTCACTAGGCCACCCGAAACGGTGTGCCCTCTGTAACTTGGGTTTGTGCCTAAGGCAAGAGCATTATTAGGCCTGGGTGGTTTGAAATGTGGACAGAGGCAATGGATGGGCCTTCTCCTCTTGCTTTCACCCTTCCGGCTTATCCATCCATCTGAAATCTATTCAGGAAAATGGAAGAAAGTGCAGGACCTACTGGAGTTGTTTTTGGGGCTAAGAGTCAAATTGTGGGATGAGAAACCTTGGATGCTGTGGTGTACATAGCGGTTGCTTAAGGTGGAGTGGAATGGTGTGATCTGGAGACATGGGCTTTCTTCCTCATTCTTCAGAAGGTTGCTGGTTTCAGGGGCACTGGGTGGCTTTGGCCCATCAGCAGTGGTGGGGGCACCTGCCTATCCAGGAGTATTATCTCGCCCAACTCTGCTCAGGCGTCTCATCTCAGTGAGTTGGAGCTGGCTCCATAGGGTGCCTTCCTTGCTTGGATGAAAAGCCTTTCTAAAACTGCAGGCAGTAGGCCCTGTTTTGTGTTGGCTGGTAATCGTATGTCAGTCTTGTCCTAGGGAAATACTGGCAACTCCATGTGGAGCTCCCGCTTGCCTTCTTTTGATTTCCATGGGAATTCTCTGGCCATTGTGTCATTTGGACTGATAAAGCCAGCACTGCCTGATCTGAGAGAGCCTTGATCCTTACCATTTTGTTGCTGTATTTCTGTGTACTAGCTCCAGAAGATCAAGGGGGAAATGTTCTCTGTTCACGTAGAAGGCCATGCCTACTCTCCGATCCTACTGTAAAACAGCCTGCTTCAGCAATCATTTCTCTCTTTAAATTGTACATGTCTGGGGAACAGGCAGTGGGTCTGGGGCGGGAGAGTGTGCAGGTGGGAGTCGGGGAACAGAGTGTGCGAGAGTTCAGGGGTGAGTATGGAGTAGTTAGGGGGGTTGGGTTTGGGAAGGGAAACAGTGTTGGTGAAATGCCATGGCGCTCTGCAAGGAGGGTGCAGGCAAAGCAGCCCGCATCTGGTATTGCTTCTGAAGAGGTAACACACGGCAAGTGTCAAATTAACAGATAATTTAACCATAGTCTATAGAGCTTTAAGAATTATATTTTGTTGCCCAGACTGATGGGGCTCAATTGGCTGGGCATTGTCCTGCAAAGCGAGGGGTTGCCAGTTCGGCTTATGGTCTGGGTACATGGCTGGGTTGCAGCCCCAGTCCCCGGTTGGGGCACGTGCAAGAGGCAACCAGTCAATGTCTCTCTCGTGCATTGATGTTTCTCTCCCTCTCTCCCTCCTTTCCCCTCTCTCTAAGAATAAATAAATTCAATCTTTTAAAAAAATTATATTTTGTAGTTCCCTGCCTTTCTGCAAAGAGTATATATTAAACACAATTGAACGTTTTCTTTCTGCATTGGTCCTTTTGTTGTTGATTACTCATGTATCGAGCTGAATTTCATGGACTCCCAGAAAATGTGCTGTGAGGTGTAGGTGTGTTGTTCCTGCACAACTCCTGTGTCCACTACAGCCTCCTGGGTGTTTCTGCTAACTCACATTGTTGCTCCTCACTTCCACTTGCTCTCAGGAATCCTGGTCATCTTTTCAGTGCTTTTCCTCCTCCTCCATCTGCAGCTCCAGCTTTCAGGAATCTAGGAAGACTTGCTGAAACTGTGTCTAGTGAGCCTTTGAATACACCAAGGTGGACCGCGCACAAGCTTCAGGCTGAGGGCCTTGGGGGCGTTTCCCTTGGTTGCTCATATGACTTCATTCTGTACCATGGTTCAGTGAGTTCAGTTTGCTGGAAAAGTGAATTCTGAATAGCAAAGGCATTCCCACATACAGTTCATACAGTGAACTCATACGATGCCATGTCTGTTGGCCTGCTTTACCTGACTCTATGGATTAACGTGTGGTATTGAGAATGAATGAGTGAGCAAGGCCATGTGGGGTGCTTTAGCTCTTTTCTCTGGTGAGCCCAATCTCAGTGAAATGGAGAAGTAACTTACTCCAAGTGTTCAAAGAATCTCACACCCCAAATTTCCTACCAGGTGCCAGAGGCTCATTTACTTGCTGGCAAGACCAAGTAGACTCTGTAGAAGGATTTTTTTTTTTTTTAACTATTGTCTGAGCTGCTGGAATATGGTATCAGTGAAATAACCATTGAGAGTTCAGTGCACATAAGAGAACAGACAGTTATTTTCTCTTGGAGGTAAAAACAAGACATGATTCCTGGCTGTGGCTGCATCATAAACCCAACAGAGTCAACTTGCAAATGTGTGCTGTTGGTCCGAGGATGGACTGAGGCCCACGGGGTCTGCCCACAGGGTCACCTCCAGGAGTCGGTCCCCTCGTGGGAGGTCAGAGTGGAGCACATCTCCACGGCTGTGGGCTAAGAACACCCCCCCGGGCCGGGGCAAGCAAAGTTCATGGAGACAACCCTCGTGGGGCCGGCCGCGGGCAGAGGCTCACCTTGAAGTGCCCCCAGCAGTCGGCCAGGCCAGCAATGACAGGCAACACCTGACCAGCCAGCTTTATAAATCATGGGCAGCATTTCCCATTTTCATTTTGGGGGGTTATATAAGAACAGTTCTGTTTTGGCCACCTGGGATATTACATTTAATTTCCAGAGCAGTGGTGGGACTGGGGAAGCAGGAACATTCGAGAGGTAAGAGCAGAGGGTCGTGGTCAGGGAGTGAGCCAGTGGCCCTCCTGGGGAGAGCCGGGCCCGTGGTGTGGCCACGCTTTCTGCTCCACAAGCTCAGAGTGGCAGCCTATTTAATAGATTTGCTGGAGCCCGGCTACCACTGCTGCAGACTCAGCAGAACCTGCCCGGGGGGACAGTCTGAGTTGGGAAAGGAAGGCTGGCCCGCCGCGTCTGTCGTTTGAAATAATAAAAAGCAAAACTGGCCGGTTTATTTATTTTTCCTAAACAATAGAATTTCCCACCACCCTTGCTTGCTACGCACCACTCCCCTTTCCTTAGAATAACTCTGTCTTGCTTTTCCCAGAGGTTATCGGGACCCTATTCGCCTCTTGGGCAGAGGCCCAGCCATGAAAGGCTTTGGGGCCGCAGGAGGATTTTGCAGGAAGTTTTGTGAGCTACTGAAAGCCAAGGCTGAGAATAATGGAAATCACACTGTAGCCGTAATTACAGAGTTGGCTTCTCGGAGCCCTGTAATAATCTCCTGTGTGTACAAAGGCCTTGTGGAGCTCTTTGCACTATGACAAGGGACTCGAGGTGGGGAGGGTAGGCGGAAGGGGGTTTGGGAGTTTGCGGAGAGGAAGGGAGTTTGCTGTGGGTTTCCAGGGTCCAGAAGCTGGACAGTAGCTGTTCATGGGCTGCCCTCAAATTACTGACTTTTTGTTTTGTTTGAAAGATATGGGTCACCGTCATTTGCAACCTTGCTCGTGATGACCACAATTTCACTCCTTTAGTGCACATATCACATGAGGCAGGGGGAAAGGAGGTGAAGAGAGTGCCAAGTTGGATGTCTTATGTTTTCTGGGAGGGTGTGTGTGTGCGTGTGTGTGTGTATATGTGTGTGTGTGTGTGTGTGTGTTACGGCTGGTATTGGCAGCCTTTCTCATGGTGTGTGGTAAAGGCATGTGCTGTTAAGAAATGTGGCATATAAATGCTACAGTCATCAGGTGGTGCCTGGGAACTTAGAAACAACTGACAGAGTGTTCCGATTCCAGTGACAGGTAAAAATCTAAAGCAAACACCATCCCATTGTGTTTTAGGGTGTCTGTATAAATCTGAAAGCCTTTGACCCAAGTTAGGGTAATGTGGTCAGTGGCCCCTCCTAAGGACAAGATCCTTTTGTGTATGTATTTCAGCTGGAATCCGCCCCTCCCTCTTTCTCTGCTTTTTGCTTTCCTGCCACTAAGTGATCATATTTTATGGCTGCTGTTCAGCAGTGAATTACTGCCTAACATTAGTGGGAGAGACTAATGCTCACAGTGAACCAAAACATCATAAACTTCCACTTGAGGTGTGATTGCCCCTTTCATTTTGTTATTGCATCTTCCCTGGGTGTTTTACAAGGTAAACCATTCGCAGCCAAGGGGCTGAGCACTCTGTGGATGTTGGTTAAGTGGCAGTCTGTCTGGTCCTGCTATTGGCTTCTGGCAGGATACGTACGGTGTGCGTGTGTCTGTGCACACCCCACAGCCTGCAGCCCCTCTTGGTGGGAACTGGGTGTGTGTCAGCATGGAGAGTCCATAGGAGTGGACAAGTCCCAAATCCTTCTTATTGGAAGTTGTCACGCAGATTAGTTCAATCTTGCTCGTTTATTTTCTTCTTGAGACTGCTTTGAAATTGATTTGCTTGTGTTCCTTAGTCTCTGAGCTTGGGTCCAGAAGGGGAAATGCAGCCAGAAGTGGGTTGGGGCAGTGGGAGACCTGCCTGCGGTTGCGTTATTCTGACCGTAAGTTCTCGTGAACAGACTTAGGTGCGCGCGCGCGCACACATGCAACCCTTGAATCACAGAACAATGTCAGATCAGAAATGGGCAGCCCCTGCTTTGTAACTTCCTCAATGTATCTCAGACTTTTCTGTAATATTCGCCTGGAAATTTGAAAGAATTTTAATATAAAGAAATTCATGCCGTGGAAAGTGCTCCAGATGGCTGGAGGCATCACGAAATCGATAGAGACACTGTTGGGCTTCAGCTTGCCTGGGAGCCCTGGGTATGGGGCTGAGGTTGAGTGTGTTTGGTGCAGCCTTTGGTCAGTTATCTCTGTT